CGGGTTCAGAGCGCCTCCCTGAGCTGTGGGGACGACCGAGGTCACGGGATGGAAGCCGGTGGTGAGAAAACCCTGCTTTGATTTATAATTTTTATTCCTGTCTCACAGGGTGCACCGTTTGGGGAACAAAGTGGGAAAAGTGGGATACAGTAGGATGGCGGTATCCGCAGGGGATCGGTTCCAAGCCCTCTCCCCGCGCGGATGCCGAAAAACGCGGAAGTCTCGGACACTATACAGTAGATATGTACAAATACATTTTCTGTGGGTTTTTTTTTAATTTAGTAATTCCAGGCAGCTGAAATTGGCCCTGCATATTTTTTTGGGGGGGTCCTGCTGTATTGGGACTGTATGTCCCTAGGTCTGCATCTCCAGACACAGAGGTAGTACATATACCTTATTGATCCTACCGCTGGGCTAGATCGCCTGAGTTTGCTTCTCTGGACCCGTCAGCCTCCCTTGTGGGTCAAGTTGAAAGCTTGGGTCACATCCAAGCAGGAATAACACAATAATTTTACCAAGAGGGCCCTACAAGAGGGAAGGTGAGATCTCTCCTGTTGCTGCCTGTCTTCGCCGTGGCCTGTCCCCTGGGCTTGAAAAATCTGGGCTTTACGCTGACCTGTAGGGCTAAAGGGTCATAAAATTCAGAGGTTTTTTTTAGGGGCTGCTGAGAAAAAGTTCAGGGAAACGGTTGGAAAAACCCCTCTGTGTCTAACCAGAGAGGCTGTGCCTTAATTTTTAAGACCTTAAATTCAAAGTGTTGTTATTGCTGATACTTTGGAATGCTTGGTAATGCGTCTGGGTTTTTCCGGGTTTAATTTAACAAGGTTGGGCACGTCCGGATGCTGGGATCCAACTCTGTAGTGGTTCCACAGGTGCAGCAGTGGAGCAGCAGAACAGTTGTAAACACAGAGAGAAGCGGCTCTTAACCTTTTTTGGGGGGGGGGTGTCCTGAACCCATCCAAGAATCTGCTGGAAAATAGAGACTCTTCCGCCCCCCTCCAGAGTGAAACCTCCTCAATCAAATAAATTTACCTTCAAAACATGCTGGCTAAGAATGAAGGAAAGAGGAATAAAGAAAATCATTTCCAGGGCTGTCCATGCTTGCTTTAGATTATAAGCGCTTTGGAGGCATGGACCTGTCATTTTGCAGGGAATCATGGCAATGAGAGTGGATGTCATTTTGGGGGTGCCCGTTGGCCAAAAAGTTTTTTGAGGGATGTAGGGTCAAGTTTGTGCTTCTATTCTGTATTTCTTGCTTCTAAGAATGGGCTTCAGAAATAAGCATCTTCCAAAATTTGAAACTTCCTTTGGACTCGAAAGAAGTCAGTGCGGGTTGTGTGCTTTCTGTGAATTAAGGACTCCCAAGAGACGACATTTTGGAGGCTACGCGTTCGTAGTTCCCCCATAATCTGGAGGCAAAGGTTGTGGCTTCCTTTATGGAGTCCGCCCATCTCGTGTTCGCACTTCCTCTTTCCCTAGTGCCTCTGATTTTTCCTATCCTTATTCTAAAAGCCTAAAAGTTCTTTTTAACAGCCGTTAAAGGCAGCTTCCGTCTCCTCCCGACTCCTTTTGTCCTCCAGTGCTTTGAAACCGATCCTGCCTTTGGTCTGTTGTCCTGAGAGCCGGTGAAACACCAAAGTGAAACTGAAACTTTCTGTTCCTGTCAATGTTCCATGTGAAGGAGGGCTTTGTACCGTGGACTTCTTTCTGTGTCAATGGCTTTTCTGACTTTTCTACTATCCCCCAGGAGTGAGAATCAAGCTGTTCTTTTGCAAAGCCTGTTTCCTGCCCCAGATTTTCTCCTTTGTGCAAAAAAACCTGTTGCCAGTTTTGAGGCCTAGTTTTTCCTGCAACTTCCTTGTTCCTTGCCTGTTATTACTTGTCCTATTCCAGACCTGGTGGTGCTGGAGGAAAGGTTAGTAACACGAGAGGCCTCGGAAAATAACTTCCACAGGTAGCTTAAGTAGCTATGGAAAACCCCAGCTGCCATGAGCCTCATGAGCATTTTCCTCTTGCTTTTGCCGATTTATGGGTCAAAATCCCATTACTGATTTACACTTAGGTTTAAGTCTTGGTGGCAGGCTGTTGTTCACTGGTGAGATGCTGGTTGCGTACCTGGACGTGCGGCCCATTAGACAATCAAGCACATCCCTAGGAACTCCGCCAGCACCTCGTTAATGAAATGAAATGTTCTGATGGTAAATTTACTTGACAGTAATGAAATTCACTGTCAAGACTTCAGGTTTCCATCATGCAGATGGAATAGATTTTGACTCCCGGCAGCCTTTTACTTCTTTATTTACCTGTGTGTCACATTTCTACCCTGCCTTTCCTCCAGTGCGTTCACGGAGATGGACACAGGTCTTCTTCTCTGTCTTTATCCTCAAAAGGACCCGGCGAAGTCTCATCGGCCTGAGAGAAAGTGGCTTGCTTAAGGTCTCCTGGTGGCTCTTACGGCCCACCAGGGAATCGGATTTCAGTCTTAACTTGGTACTGCAAAAAGGTTAAAATACAGGGTGCAACATAAAGCAAAACTCAGATTCAAAAACAGATTAACAGTGGAACAAAGTCAACAACATGACCCATGAACCTTATGAACTTTGGACCAGAAAAGGCCTAGTGGGCAGATCAGTGGTTTAAGTCTCTGGCTGTGAAGCCAAGGTTCGAGAATTCAGTTCCTCACTTCGCCTTCCTGACAGGGGCTAGACTCAATGATCCACAGGGAGGCCTAGTGGGCAGATCGGTGGCTTAAGTCTCTGGTTGTGAAGCCAAGGTTCGAGAATTCGATTCCTCACTTCGCCTTCCACAGGGTCCCTTCCAGCTCTGCTGTTCTAAGATGATGGTTGATCTCTTCCTGTGCTGCTGTTTTGGTCCTTCTTATTCTTTCTCCGTCCTTTTTTCCTCCTGCTGGCAGCCCTGTGTGTCTTTTCTGTGAAGAGGAGTTAATGCATCTGAGCTGCGTAAAGCCCTGAAGGTGTGAAGTGTTGAGCAGCAACCGGCTTGAATGTGTCGTTCTCCCCCCTTTTTTGTCTCTTGCAGGTTTGACACGGTTGTGTTGCTGAAGATGAACGGTTGAATTCCGTCTCTAGCCCAAAGCGCTTGGCCTGTTTTTTAAAGATGGCCACTCTGCCAGGCCCCTCTGTCGCTGGGGCTCCCCCGTCGCAGCTGGACCCCAGCGTGGCCGTGTGGGAGTGGCAGGATGAATTCGGCCACTGGAGACCCTACCGGAGCAGCGTCTGCAGCTACATCGAGCAGTCTTTCCAGACCCTCACGACAAAGGGGCGTCGGTCGCTGGGCGCCTTGCCCGGCAACGGGAGCATCCCTTTGGGACAGGCTGATTCTGCCCTTGCCCCGTACATCATCGATATCCCAAGCTTAATGCAGTTCCGCCAAGACACAGGTAAGTCCCAGCAGAATGGGTGCCGTTCGGCAGCAGAAGGATGGTTTTGGTTTTTTTGTACTGCTTTCCGATGTTTCCATCTGGATAAGCCAAGGTGCTGAAGGTGAGGAGCAGAGAAATCTCCTGGTACCAATGGCACCTTAGGATGGATGGGGTCGTTCTCGGCAAGCCGTCATTTTCCGAGTTTCGGCTCCCGAGTTCGTCACCCAAGTGGAAAGATCCTAATGGATGCTACGGAGGACTCTTTGAGAGATTACTGAGATTGCTCAGGAAAAGAAACTGGATGCTAGGTCAGGAAAACCAAACCCACCAGGGAACAATGCAAGGGTTTATCGATCGGGTCTTTTTCCTGTCTTTTACCCCAAACTAGAACCAAGGCATCAAATTGAATAAAAATGCCCAGAAGAGAGTAGCTGTGATGTTGCAGGAAAGAGTCTGGTGGCACTCTGAAGGCTAGGCATTTTTATTTGGTCGGAGGTTTTGTGGCCTCGGGACCTGGAAAAGCGAGCGGGAGTCCAACAAAGCTTATGGCGAAGAGAGGCGTCTTCTTTAAGGTCTCACCAGCCTTTGTTGTGGCTCTGGTTGTTAAAGAAGAAGCACAATTAGAAACACAAACTGGGTCAGGGAGCACAAGCGGTCCCTGTTGGGCAGTTTTATAGGCCATAATATAATTCAGGGACTGTCGTCCACTTCAGATTAAAACTCCTTTTTAAAAAAATTGAGGAGTGTGCTTTGGTCTGGTCTTGGAAGCGGTTCAGTTATTAACATTGCTAAAAAAAAATAGATTAGGATTTAGAACTCAAGTATTAATGTTGTTAATAGATGTAATAATTTTAATTACTGCATGTGGCCATTGAGCCCATTCTGATTTATGGCACTTCCTTTTTCAAGGTTTTCCAGTTAGAGAAGACTCAGAAGTGCTTTACCATTTCCTTCCTCTAGGGGCGCTGTGGGACTGTGCAGCTGGCCCAAGGCCCCCCAGGCTGGTTTTTCTCCCTGAAGACACCGTGGAGAATCAAACTCCCAACCTCTGGCTCCACAGCCAGTTCAACCAGTTAATAATATATGTAACTGAATAATCTGAGGTTTCCATATAGGGCTGTAAGATTAGCAAAGCATAGGCATTTTTGTGTGTTTCTGACATTCATAAGATACTCAGAGAGCCTTTTTGCATGAAAAGCAAGCTAACAATGCAAATAGTTCAGCCTTTTCTCTCTCCAAACCTGCCACAGCATCTATCACACGTTTGCTCGCAGAGGTTGAGAGTATAGCATGAATAGAACTCGTGAAACAATAACGAACTTTGAAATCATTTTCTTTGTTGCTGTTGCACCCTGGCTCCTTCATCTGCCTCTGGCGTGGTTCCGTCACACCAAGAGGGGAAAATGGGAGCCGCCCCAAAACTATGGAAAGGGCAGGGGCGAGAGGAAACTGGTGGCCTCCTTTTGTGCTTGAGGTGCTGGGCTGGGGGCAAGGGCCGAGAAAAAGAAAAATCTCATTTTTGTGAAAGGTTAGCTTTAGGTCTCTTTCAAGTAGACTTTAAAACAAGAGTTAAAACAGTATCTTCTATGTGCCATGAGGTTATGGTGGAAGTTTAAAAAAAAGATGTTAAAAAGAACTACTTCTAAAATATATATTTTTTACTTCTAAGAATGTGTGTGTGTGGAGAGAGAGAGAGAGATGGAACTGATTTATTCATGCCAGAAGTCCCCTCAGATCCTGCTCCATCTCCCTGCTCAGCATGGAGCAGGATGATTTCTCTCTCTCTTTTTAACATACTCCTATGGTTTTTAACAGTGTACCAAGGAGCGGTAAAAGGAAAACAGGAAACAACATCCATCTGTAAAATAGTCTAACTCCAGCACAGAATACAGGCTTCTGAGTGATACAGATGGCCTCTCAGATGGACAAGTCAGTCTCTTGATAGGAAGCCGGGAATAACAGCAGGAAATCTTGTTTCCTGAACTTCTAAATATCCAGACGTGGGCTGCAGAAGCCCAGACTCTCCGCTGCTGGCAGTGGATGAATTGGCTGGACGAGGAGGTGTGACCAGCTCAAAAATCACCAGTCAGGGCGTGGCTTTATTAGGGCTAACTAGAGTGCCATGATCGCACATAAGCTTCTGAGTTGAACAGAGCTCTTTCTTCATCAGCCTAGGGGGTTTAAAAGTGGGGGCATGGAAGAGGCACAGAAATCTAAAAATTTGGTTGAATGGCTTAAGCCAGGGGTCTCCACACTTTTCACATGGAGGGCCACGTAGGATATTTGTGATATTTTCGAGGCCGAAGGAGGGCATACACATACCTGCACTCCTGCCTGCCCGCCCACACACATGCTATCCCACCCACATGCATGCACGCCCTCACACAAGGACTGGGCTGAATAAAAAAGCCAGATGGGCTGAATGTGACCCTCGGGCCGTACTTTGGAGACCCTTGGTTTAAGCCATGAGGTCTGCCATGAAATGGACTCACTTTGTGGGTGGGCGCTGTCTTTGGGGCTTGTCTTACGAATGGTGTGAACTGTGCCTTCAAAGCACCTGAAAATGCAGGGCATGTACTGAACCAAAAGAAATCCGGCAGCTTTCATCTTCATCTTCCAGGAGCCACTTTGGTCAAAGTAGGCAGAACTGGGTTAGATCAGGAGCAGGGCCCCCGGGATGTCCCTCTCCCCATTAAAAACACACACACACATACACACAAACACCCAGTGGTGTGAAAATGGCCAGTTATCCCAGCCACCCCTACCACAAAGCTGCTGTCTCTGGCTGTGTGCCTTTTATAGGTTCCAGATATTTTGGGATCTTTTAAAAAGGGTTTCCAGAGCGAGTTGAAATGGCCGGTGGGTGGCAAATCAGAAAAAGGCCTCCAGGGGAGGGCACTGTTGGTTATTGTGGGCTGTGTATATGTGACAGGAGTGTCGAGGGTACCGGAAAAGAGACAGACGGACCTCTGAGCTGGCTTAGCTGCTCAGCCTACATTAGATGTAGAGGCTGCTTATGCGACAACTTGGGAGTTTTCCAGTTGCCATTAAATTCATACCTTTGCACTCAGAATCTGTGAGCGCCCTCTGCTTCACCCCCTGTGCAGTTTTGTGCTGGGGTTTTGTTTCTTTAGGGAGATGTGGTGGCGCTGCGGATTAAACCACAGAAGCCTCTGTGCTGCAGGGTCAGAAGACCAGCAGTCATAAGACCGAATCCACGCGACAGAGGGAGCTCCTGTCGCTTGTCCCAGCTCCTGCCAACCTAGCCATTTGAAAGCATGTAAAAATGCTAGTCGATAAATGGGTACCACCTTGGTGGGAAGGTAATGGCGTTCTGTGTCTAGTCGCGCTGGCCACGTGACCTCAGAAACTGTCTATGGACAAACGCTGGCTCTATGGCTTGGAAACAGGGATGAGCACTGCGCCCTAGAGTTGGACACAACTGGACTCAATGTCAAGGGGAACCTTTACCTTTACCTTTGTTTCTCTATTTTCTTAATTTGACTGAAATGGCACAGTGCTCGGGCAATCACAACACCTTTGATTTAGTCTTACCTTACGATATTGGGTGTGTGTTTGCTCATGAGTTCTTTGGTCTCCTCGAGCATTTCCCCCTGCACACACACATACATACCTTTCGTTTCCACCCAGGGTGCCTGCGGGCTGTGCGCCGGCTTGTCTTCCCCCTGGATTCAGCCGCCGGGCAGGGGGTCATCTGGGAATGGCGCAACGACGAGGCGGGGTGGTTCCCGTACGAGATGAACATCTGCATCTACTTGGAGAAAACCTTTGCCTGCAACAGCCCCCAGGCCGATCTCGGCCCCTTTGGCTACAACTACACCATCGACTTTGCATCCTACACCCAAACCAACAAGACCACCGGCTACCAGCGGCGGATCCGGAGGCGCGTGGACTCCCCGCACCCTGTGGCCGCGGTCGTGGGCCCGCTTCACGCCGGACCCACCTGTTCATGCCAACAGTGTTTGTTGAATAACGGGACTGGGCCCATAACCTCGCGGTATCGGCACTCCATGGTCAGCCTCCCGGGCCCCTCGGCTGGGACAGTCCCTAGATCTTTTCCTGGCATCCAGGGGGCCAACCGGACAGCTGGACTCGGTTCTTCCTTCGTCGGCTTTGTGCCTTATAACAAGCCAGCCCTGTCTGGAGCGAGGTCGATGCCGCGGCTGAATGTCCAGAGTTTAGGGGCTGCATTGCAGTCGGCAACCGTCGGTGGAGCCAGTTCACCCCACGTCGCATTAAAAGGAATCAGGTGAGGAGGCCTTTAATGCTTCCGACTGGCAGGGGCGTTGGCGAGCCAAGCCCAGGTGGGCACTACAGTAGGAGCACAATATCTGCAGGGAATCACTTCCGAACCTCCCCACGCATGCTGAAAAATGGAGATATTGAATGCTGTACATTGCATAATCTAGTGGCAAACACACCCTGATAAATACAAACAAATAGGTATTTCTGAGGTTTCTGATTTAGTATTTTTAGCCAGTATTTTTAGCCAGTGAATCAGTGAATACTGAACCAGTGGATGGGGGGGCTCCTACTGCCCCTCATTTAGAACAAACTGTGGTTCCACATGTGTTTCAGCTTCAGAGTTTCTCAGCATTTCCTCTTCCTGCAGTGTTAAGAAGCGGGAGGTGGAAAAAATTTTTGAACGTTCCCCAATGTTTTTTAAGCTGTGGAGTCTGTCGTTCTGCTCACTCCCAAGACGATGAAGGCAGGCTAGCTGGATGTGTGGGTATCCTGCGCTATCTGGCCTTCCCTTCTGAAGGGTGTACAGAATCGAGGGTCCCCATTTCTGGAAATGCGAGGTTGGAAAGAGCTCAGACGCTGGCATTCAGGGAGGGATGCAAAACCCCCTCCCCGCCCCTCTTCATGCCTCGCTTCTGGATCAGGGCTGTCCGCCCTGCCTTGATCCTGAGAGGTTCGGCCGCCCACCAGCCCTGGTTCCCCCAGTTTGTGGCAGAGGCCAGAGGGAATCTTCTTTCGGCTCTCTGGTGCCAAACAGCTGGAAGAGGACGGGACAGCTGTGCCAAGGAGGGGACCTAAAGATGTATAGTCCACTCTCTCTAGAGACGTCCAGATGGAGAGCACTGGTAGCCGCCTTGTGGCTTCCGAGTCTAGCTGAAATAGCCTCCAGGGGGGGGCTGCAAAAACCGACCCCAAACTGCTGGGTTTAAGGGTGAGAGACAGTGTGATGTAATGGACAGGGGGTGTAATTAGAACTCAAGAGGTCTGGGTTCAAATCTCCACTTAACCATAGACACTTAAGATGGCGGGGGCAGAGAGGGACGGTGACCCAGTCCTCAGACAGTTCACGCGCTTTGAAAAACGTATTCGCCATTATTCAGGAGCAACTTGACCACACCTCACGACAGCAGGAATGGTAGCAACCGGTGCTCATGTAATCAAAGCACTAGGACCAGGTTTTCCATGGGATCAGTATCCGCGGATTCACTTATCCACGGTCGGATAATATTAAAAATGTTAAACGGAAAATCCTCCAAAAAAAAGTATTTCTAAAAGTGACGTTGCCACAACTGGCCACTAGAGCGAGCTAGGGATCATGCTACATATAGCATTCGCTATTAAAAGAGCTTTTCCTGTAATCCGTGTTTTTCAGCATCCGTGGGGTGGGGGGGCTTGGAACAGATCCCTGCAGATATGGGGGTCCTACTGTATTACAAATAATGGGGAGGGGGAACAAGAATGAACACTGCATCTCTCTTCCTTTTGCGCTAGTTCTCTGTCAGGTAGATTCACACAATCGAGTGCAAGCATTCAAGTTACCAGATCTGTGTGTACTACACTTTTGAGCTAGAAAAAAAAAACTTGAGACAGCCATTGCGTCTCATGTTGGATGAGATAGTCCCTTGCCTGCCAGCTTCTTACTTGCTCTTCCCAAGTCGTTTTCCCAAGGGGAACAATTTTTGGAGGTGACGCCAACCTTTGGGAGAAGCGTAAGGTGTGGAAAGGAGCGTTTCAACACTGGGAGACAGTCCCGGACAGCTTCCGTCTTTTCCCTCGCATAATGAGCCTCCCGTCGGAAGTGTGTAATTACTTTGGTCTGAGCTTGCATATTTGGAGCTGGCAAAAATCTAATAGACCTCATTAGAGGAAACCTGAACTCTGAGCTGTTGCTCTCCAGGTCCTGGGCTGTGTTGTTCACTTGTCTCCTTTCTCTTCTGCCCCACGCCGCAAATTAGAACCTTTTTTTTGCTTGCCATTCCCAGCCTTCTAACACAACGTCCCCTGTTACTGCAGCTCCACGGGCTGCCAGCCTGTTTCCAACCACCGTGCAAAGTGCTGGTTCTGACCCACAAAGCCCCAGATGGCCTGGCTCCAAGCTGTCTCAGGGGCCGTGTCTCCCTTTACAAGCCTGCTTGTGTATTAAGATCAGTCCCACCACCTTCGCAGGATGGGGACAAGGGAGGGGGGCCTTCTCGGTGGCTGCTCCCAGACTCTGGAACTCCCTGCCACTGGAAGTCAGGCTAGTTTTCATCTTGGCTGTCCCTTCCACAAGCAGCTAAAAGTCCTTTCTCTTCAGACAAACTTTCCCTTAAAGATGGACTGTCTGAATGGGGATTTTTAAACGGCTTGTTGTGCTGTGTTGTTTTCAAGTGAGTTTTCAGTATCAATTTTATTGACTGGTTTAATTCTTTTTAAAAAATATTTGCATACTTACTGGTTTTTAGCTTCTAAGTATTGATTTTTAATTGATGCAAGCGCCTTGGATCCTTTCAAGAAAAAAGGCAGGATTAAAATATTTTAAACAAACAAACTCTCTCTCTTGTTAGCTTATTCTCTGATAACTAGATTTGGGAACACCAGTACCCAATAAAAGCCCCCGTTATTATCTGGGTATTGCCTCCTAACCCTCTGGCTGTGATGTTTAGTGGAAAGTCCTTTGTTTTGCACTCACTGGGTGTGAAACCACAAAAGACTGATTTAATTGTCACATGTTAGAAAATGGGGATAGATCTAAGACTAGTTTATCAACTCTGAGACTGGACTCCGAATTCAAATTCCTAGGCCTCTGAGCAGGAAAATAAGTAGGCTGTCCATCCTTGTGAATCACTCTGTTTGTGTATTAATTCAAAATGCTATGCACAGCATCTCGGGAGGGGGGGGGAAGCAGTTCTGCAACGACACCCTGGCCTGTTTTCGGTCTGCAGGAGTCTGTTCTGACCTTAAGAACAAGGAAGGTGGTTTTGTACCTGCATTTTTCCCCCGCTTGCCCAAATGTGAAGAAAATGCTGCTATCCCATGATGATGGCAACCGGGGGAGGGGGGGAGGTAGCCCACCACCCCCAGGGCCTTCGAAGGAGACTTTGGTGCCGTCTCTCTCTCTCGGCCTTTGGAGATTTTTCTCTCCCTTCTTAAGACACGGGAGCAATGCCTGTGTGGAGGATCTGCAGAAGCAAGAAGGAATGCTGAATCTGCCCTCAAGGTCAAGAGTTTGGGGAACCACGGCTTGCTTCTCCGTTGCTCCTTTGGAGTCAACGAGCTCCGGCAGGTTGTGATGTCAGCACAAGTTGCGTCAGTAACACCCACAAGAAAATTCAGCTTTGGTTGGGGTGAAAACCTGGGTTGACTTGGTGGCAAACTCCGGTTTGTGCTCCGATGTTTAAACTCATTTTCTTCTTGTTTCCCCCCCCCCCCCCGCCCACGTGCC